CCCCAAAACCCCAAAACCCCAAAACCCCAAAACCCCAAAACCCCAAAACCCCGATTTTATCAGCTTTAGTTGAAAAATTATGGAAGAATTAGATTTCTTAAACAAACTCTGAAGATAGGTTAGGCAACTCATTTGAAGATTCTTTATTCTTGAGACGTTTTTGCTTTTGAAGTTCAAGCTTTTTTCTGTCCAATATCAACTTCTCTTTTCTTTCCAATAATTCTCTATAAAACCAACCTTACTCCACCTCCTAATATCAAAATTCAAAATTATATGCTCAGAAACCCTCATATTCCCTTAATTTCATTTCTAAAATACAAAATTCTTACTTTCTCTTTTTCTTCCTCATTGCTTCTTCTCTCTTACGTTCTTCTTCTAGTTTAATGATTTCTTCCTTTACTCTACCAATTCTCTTCTGCTCGATCATCTCTATTTTCTTTAATCTAGCCTTCGCCTTCAGTAAATCCCTTCTCTTCTTAGTAGGCCCGCCTGGAATAAAACTATTATGCTTCGGCAAGCTTGTATTAGTCTTCTTGGATAGAATATAACTGTTCTTATCCCTAATCCGGATTAAGGTAGAGTTAGAGTTCAAATCAGTAGACACTGACGGATATATTTCAGAAGATCTAGAACCATAAGCAGAGGAACGACTGGGCGGTTCCCGCCCAGATGGTTGCTCCTTACTGATGTTAAGATCTTTAGACATTATATTATCAGCAGCTTTGATCAACTCACGAGAAGCTGACCTTCCTTTAGTATAATCCTTCTGAATTCATCCGGGAAATATACTATATTGTGATTGTTGAATATTCATAGCAACGGAATCATTCGTGTTATATATTTTCTTAGGAGTACTCTTACTAATTGAGCTGTAGTTAGAGGCATTCATTAACTTTTTAATCTCCTCTTCTGCAGAGTCTGCATAATTTCTCGAACTTTCTCTTGATTTTCGTAATTCTTGAGCTCCATCTTCAAAATTATTGAGATTATTCGAATGATTATCAAACTTTATCAGAGCTGAAGATGGCCCATTTAGATCAGGTTGGCTCACATTTCCATAATCTTGATCGTCTCTGTTGTCAATATTCACCTTTCATTCACTGAGTTTTCTCTTTTTGGTCAAAGATTTTGAAGCGATGGCTTCTCTCAACTTGACTCTTCTTCCTTTTGCTACAAAATTTAGGTGAAATATTACCTGATTTCATTTCAATGGTTCCTGTATTGAATTTACTGTCGGTATCAATTACTCGATAGGCATTTTCTCCTTCATCTAGCAACTTCTCCCTTGATCTAGCTAGAGCAGGTACAAATGACTTATTCTGAACTCCAGGCTTAACTTTATTGGGAGGATTCACATCTCGAAGCCTCTTAATTGGAGAACATGTGTCATAATCAGAACCTTCGTTGTAATGAGGACATGGTGGGAATTCTTTACAGAGTGGACATTTCATTGGAGCTTCATTGTCAATCCTTCTCTCGATGTCTTTGATATTCTTGCTTTGCAACGAAGATAATTCGTATGCCTGTGTCTTATTCACATTAGAATTTAGCTCGGTAAAAGACATTCCCCCATCATCTCTGATTATCAGGGATCCTTCTTCTTCTCTAATTTTCTGTAATTCAATTCTCATATATTTATTTTCCATTTTAAGTTTCTCAACTTCTTCATGGTTCTCTGCTAGTGTTCTAAGGCGGTTATTTTCTTTCTGCAGTTTTACTAATTGCAACTGAATCTCTTCAAATTTGCCTTTCTTCCGTAGATTAAGCACTTGTCTAAGATGTACAACTTCTTTATGTAGCTTCTGGACTAAATCTTTATCAGCAGCATCCAGTTCATTAGCTTTGACTTTTACCATAACTTGCTTAGCCCTATCAGCGAATTTGAGGGTGCCTATAGTTTCATTGACATTATCCTCAATAGGAGAGACAGCTCAGATCAATCATGTACGAGTATTTCCACCAAGAGAGTCTTGAAGCAGCCTTGTCAACTTAGACTCTCTGTAAGGAATGCTTGGCCCATATCTTTTGTTTTTAATTTTCTTACTATACATTCCAGCATTACTCCTTGCTCTCGGATTTTTAACTTTGCTAGAAAGAGCTGCAATGACCTTTCCAAGAGTAGTTAACGAAAGATTAATAGTTCTGAGCTCATTAAAATGAGCTTTAGTCATACTTTCTTCTTTGTTAACGATTTTCTCTGATCCTGCCAAGTCTCATAAGTTTAGCTTGGCTCTTTTCAACATCCCTCTTTTGTCTACCTTACCAGTCTCAACTCAAAGTTGAAATATGGAATGTGACCTCGAACTATGGATATTTGACTTAGTAGCCTTGGTAATCCTGTTCTTCTCGCCTCTTTTCATTAGTGCAAAGCAGTCTCTGGCATTATTCACCACAAATTCAGCAAGGCCTTCTACATAAATACCTGTAAACTTATCCTCACGAATATTTAGTGAGTTATTTCAACTTCCCATCTTGTAGTAGGTCGTACAGATTTTCATTGTAGATCTGAAGGAAGGAACAGTAAACAGTATATTTATCCATGTCTCCAGACCGATCTTGTTCATGAGAGATTCTGTCGAAAATTAATTGTATTGCTCTTGGAATTATTCCATATTTTTCTTCATTATCAAAAAGATCATACCTCTGCTTTATAGAGCCATTATGCTTGAGATATTGGTTTAGGCTAAGAGCACTATTTCTCACTGAAGTTTCCCAATGAGGTCCAAACATTGTAAAAGTTTTACCCGAGCCTGTTTGCCCATAAGCAAAGACTGTTGCATTAAACCCATCAATAACCCCTGAAATAGCTGGTCTAGTAAATTCAAATATCTCTTCTTGACTAGTTTCCTTCGCAAAAACCTGGTCATAATAGCTCTCAATCCTCTCCATATCCCTAACCACCTGTATCTTCGATGTTACCCCCTCTCAGTCCTCCACCATGACCACTTCCTCTGCTACAAACTCCTTCCTCAGCTTTGGTCTGACCCTCACTCACACCTTAACCTTATCCGAGATCCCTTGACTCACAATATCAATCTCCTCACTAACAGCCTTGGCCATCTCCTCCTTCTGCGCCTAAACTCATAACCAAAATTCTCCGTACAGCTTCACCAGTCATTTCTTCTTCCAAAATTTTTGTACGTGATTTCTTCCCAAGCGGTCTTCGACCAGCGAGGGATTTTGATGAAGTTAATTCGTTCGAGGATTTTAGCTTGGAGTCTAGAATTTGTTAAGAAATTTAAGGGGTTTTGTAGGATTTTGTGTGGGGAACTTACCTGGGTGAGACTGATCGATCATGTTTTTAATATTTGGGTTAATTTTTTAAAGGGATTTTTTGGGAAGGGGTTTTGGGGTTTTGGGGTTTTGGGGTTTTGGGG